CTACATGTGTGTATGTGCACCATGCCTGGGGTCTGTGGAGTTTTAGATGGTTGTGAGGCACCATGTGGGTGCTGGAATCTGCCATAGGTGCTCTTAAGCATTAAGCCATCTGCCTAGCCCTTTGTTTTGTGCTAGGCTATAAGTAGATGTCTGTTTGACTGCTAAATACATAGTACTTGACAACTGATTAAAAAATAGGCTCAATATATACTTAATAACTTAATTGTGAATATAAGCTATATCACAAGTCATGACACTCGGTAAAGCAGAACATTTCAGGTATGCAGAATGAGGCCTGGACCGATGACATTTCAACTCCTATCCAAACTGAGATTTTCTTTTTCTTTCTTTTTCATTTTTTTATTGGTATTTATTAAGCTCTACATTTTTCTTTGCTCCCCTCCCTGCATCTCCCCTCCCCACTTCAATCCTCTCCCAAGGTCCCCATGCTCCCAATTTACTCAGGAGATCTTGTCTTTTTCTACTTTCTACTTCCCATGTAGATTCTATTTATGTAAGTCTCTCTTAGTGTCCTCACTGTTTAAGTTCTCTGGGATTGTGGTTTGTAGGCTGGCTTTTTTTTTGCTTTATGTTAAAAAACCACCTATGAGTGAGTACATGTTATAATTGTCTTTCTGTGTCTGGGTTACCTCACTCAAAATAATGTTTTCTAGCTCCATCCATTATCCTGCAAAATTCAAGCTGCCGTTATTTTTTTCTGCTGTGTAGTACTCCATTGTGTAAATGTACCACATTTTCCTTCTTTTTTTAAAAAAAATATTTATTTATTTATTATGTATACAATATTCTGTCTGTGTGTATGCCTGCAGACCAGAAGAGGGCACCAGACCCCATTACAGATGGTTGTGAGCCACCATGTGGTTGCTGGGAATTGAACTCAGGACCTCTAGGAAGAGAGGCAATGCTCGTAACCTCTGAGCCATCTCTCCAGCCCCACATTTTCCTTCTTAATGTCCTTCTCTATTCTTCGAGGGGCAGTTAGGTTTTTCCAAGCTCTGGCTATCACAAACAATGCTGCTATGAACACAGTTGAGCACATGTCCTTGTGGCACGATTAAGCATCCTTTGGATTTATACCCAAAAGTGGTATTGTTGGGTCTTGAGGAAGGTTGTTTCCTAATTTTCTGAGAAATCGCCACACTGACATCCAAAGGGTCTGTACCAGCTCGCATTCCCACCAGCATGCAGAAGTATTCCCTTTTTCCCACAACCTCTCCAGCCTAAGCTGTTGTCAGTGCCAAACTGAGATTTTCGGATCTGGTACTGAAATTAAGGGAGACCTCAGGGCCACAATGCCTCGCATCATCTACTGGTGCCGTGGTTATTCTGTAGAATCTCTATGCCTCAGTCTCCCTATCTCTGTAGAGCTATTGTGAAGATTAAAGGCATTAATACAGCTAAACCCCAAGAACGCAGTGCAGGACGGCACACGTCTGCTTAATATCAGCCACTGCTTTCTCACCGCCATATTTACGTAGGGATACAGTAAACCATAAGTAAATGTCCTACTCAAGAGCTAAGCCAAAGCTTGGCATGCTGCACATTCTGGAACACAACTGGCGTGGCGCAACTGTAGGAAACCCTGACACAAACAAAATGGTCAGTGTTAAATATGCCAGCTTGGGGTTAAAGTTGGCTGCCCACCTGCTTCTTTAGCCTGCCATGTCTGGCTGTCAGTGATTATCAATGACTTACTGCAGAATGTCTGAGGTTACCTGACTTGGCTCAAGTTTCAAACTGTGCACAAGGGGCTAGGGCTGTATCTCAGTAGTAAAATGCTCACCTAGCATACAAGGGGTCCTGGATTCAAATCCCCCAATATCAAAACAAAAACAATCTCCCCTACCCCTGCAAATGTGTGTAAGGGCTTTTGCTTAGGAAGTATCCAGTTCCACTTTGTAGAAAACAGAACACACTGAATGAACGTTCATTTCTGACTATATACGGATATTTTTCTCCAGATTCTAAGGGCAAGGCTTCTGCCCTCCTCTACCTTCCCTGGCAGTCACTGCTCGACTTTCCTCTAGCTCTCGGTTCCACGGCAGGGCACATCACTTACTGTGAGGTCTGTCTTCTCTGCCAGGCAACGGTATAACACATAGAGGGAGAGGAACTGGGTGGACGGCACTTCAAAGGCTTCTTGCATCATGATCTCAAAAACCACAGATAAAGCATCTGGCAAGAAGATGAAGGTGAATACGAGAGAAAATTAGTTGTAGACAACATCATAAATCTCTAAATAAAAAAAAGAAAAAAACAAACACCTTCAAAGTGCAGTGCGATGGGAAAATATTCAGAATCAAGAAGGAGGAAACATGGCCTTTGACGAAGCAGGTCCTTTCCGAGCCTTTCACGCCTACTATACACAGTGCTTGCACACTGAACTGGGGCTTGTGCATCACTGACTTCAAACTGCATGTCTTGGCTTCCAGTGAGTAGCATCTTCTTAATGATCAAATACTGCTTGCTCTATTTACTTCAACAAGATAATGCCTCACACACTGTCCATCAGCCAGAAGAGCTAAGGCAGCAGAAAGAGGCGCATCACCGGCAAAGTCACCCTGACAAACAAGCAGGCTGCCTGCTTCTCTCCATTAGAATGCTGTCTCACTGTGGAGGCAAGACAAGACAAAGGCTAGAGGAACTCCCAAACCTCAGGAATTATTTCAAAGATGGAAACAGGGATAATAAAGATCAGTTTAAAAGAACTGAAAGAAGGGAGAGGAAGATGTTCCTTCATAAGCTCCCGAGTGTAACATACAGCATATGTTATTTATTCCTACATGAATGCTAGTCATAGAACAGGCCCCAGATGACTCCAATTTTCCTATGATATTCTACAGCACAGACAAAAGCTAAGAGTATCATTCAAACGACTTCTTTCCGTCAGTAAATTGTGGCCAAGGTAGAGATGTTAATGCTAACATTGAAACATAAAGCTTGCACATGCCACAAGCACAATGTTTTCAACTGAGTGCACGTGCTCTCCTGCTCACTTTGCATACATGCATAATTACAGACGAGTTATCATGATTACAGCTGTTCATGGCTAGCTGGTTTTGCAAATGCTGCAATGGTTTTGCAGGAGGCTGAGAGGCATCACTTTCTTGCTCTTTTTGCAGGAAACCGAGACAGATAGAACAAAGCATCTAGTAAAGCTAGCAAAATAAGGACCTGGAAGAAATTTTCTTTTCTTTTTTGGGACTTGGTCTCATTATGTAGCACTAATGAGTCTGAAACTCACTATGTAAACAGGCCAGACTTGAACTCACAGAGATTGGCCAGCTTCTGCTTCCCAAGTGCTGGGATTAAAGATGTGCTGGGTGAGATTTTCTTTTAAATAATCACATCAATATTTTCAACAAGGATGAAGGCCCATTTTGCTGCTGTTGTTAAGACTTATTTAGTTTTAACTGTATGTATGTGGGTGCTGGCTGCATGCTTGTCTGTGCAATCCATGTGTAGTGCCTGGGGAGGCAAGACGAGGACGCCAAGTCCTCTAGAGGTGGAGTGGCGGAAGGCTGTTGGCTGCCGTGTGGGTGTGCGCTGCACAGGAGCAAACGGTGCTCTGACATGCTGAGCCCACTTTCCAGGTCTAAGTCCCCACTTTTTTCCTCCTGAAACCACACATTTGTTTATTAATTTTATTACTTTATAATTTTATTTACTGTTTATTTCATGTGCGTGTACATTTGTGTGTGTGCATGTGTATGTGTGTGAAGGTCAGAGGACAACCTGCTGGAGTCGGTTCTCCCCTTCTACCTTGTAGATTCCAGGTATCTAACTGAGGTCCTCAGGCTTGGCAGCAGACGCCATTACCCACTGAGCCATTTCACAGGCCTTTCTTTGTAAATCTAATTCTGCCAACTGTTCATTATAGATTCCAAAATTACACATGAAAACAAAATCAATTTTTACTTTATTCTTTTTATTCTGCATTTAAATCAGTTTGGGAAGTGGAATCAGATTGGTCCGTATTATTAACTTTTCCTTTATAAGCACTTATATACTTTGATATTTTCTATCCCATAAAAAGGTAATACTTGAAATTTCTGCATAAATAATAATAATCTTCATGTAAATTTTTCTGACTAAAAGAGTAATATTAGGAACCGAATGTCCTGTATTAACTGAATGGTGACCTGGTTTCTTACCTTTATAATTTTCTTTCTTTATGAAATAATCCATCAGTAAGTTGAATGTAAAGTTATCTGGAAAAATTCCATACTGAACCTGTAATAAAAGGAAAATGAAGAGAAAAAGAAACCCTCTTTAATTCAGTCTGTAACACATGCCTATCTATTATTCAGGATAAAACCTGGCCCCACTCGAGTTAAACGATGTGCCGATCATTTTGCAGCATCTGTGACAGTGAAACTGAAGCTGTGACTCATGAGGTTTGGTAACTGGAACTTGGTCAGGGTGAGAGTTGTGAGCGGGTGTCTCACAGATGACAACTGAAGGGGGAACAGGGCTCAGTTCTAACAGCTCACCACAGCTACACACAGCAGCCGCAAGGACCATCCCTTCCTCACACATAGCTGCTCCAGTGATCCTTTTCACAAGGTATGAATGAAAATGCAGAAACAGATCATAAGGAAAAAAGCACAAATTATACAGCATATGGTCTGGCTGGAGCTTCTAAATACACAAGAAATATGCCAATGCTTTGTTATGAACCCAGCTCCTCGGATGCTGTTTACCTGCATATTTAAGACGCCAGAATTTAGGGATAATATTTTAGGAATAAATAAAGATAATGCAGTGTCTACTTCAGGGTGTAGTAGGGGCACATTAATGACTCAGATCTTGAAGTCTCAGGCCCACTGCCTCAGATCGGGGACGGAGCCCAGAAGTTTCAGCACACTTCTGTGATTTTCATATACTCGTGAGCCTGACTCCCTCCTGCTTAGATCATGGCTACAATTTCACCCCCAATTCTTATTTCCATAGGATTAACCTCCCTGTTCCATAGTGTCACCAACTACCAGACACCTGGGGAACCTCTCCTGCGCCACCTACTCCCCTGAGAGGTTCCAAAGCCTCAGCTGTGAACCACCTGAACTGACTCATGGAAGCAGCACAGGAAGCCTCAGGTGTGTTCAAGTGGACGCAGCAGGAAGGCTGCGGCTCAGAGGCAGGCCTGGGATTCTCAGAGAACTCACCCACAGCAGAGCAAATCCATGGCAGGTTAAAGCCAAAACACTTTAGAATCTAAGTCACTGGAGCTAGAAAGGACCTGTGAAATTAACTGGTTCAAGCCGAGTGTGGTGCCAAAAACCCTCAGAAGGCTGAGGCAGAACTGAGGTGGGTTCTGGGGCGATCTGGCCTACAGGATAAAGTTTGTAGAACAAAGAAAAGGAAATCATCTAGTCCAGGATTTTCAACCTTGACCAAGGGTCAAGAGAAGCTTAAAGAAAAAGTCCCAAGGAAGATGAAATGGCAGCCACAATGATCTAGACTCATGTCATTTCATCCACTCCCACAGGACGCACAATAGCAAGAAGGAACCTGTAAACTGTGATCTAAGTGCATCAGCCCCAGCAGATGTCCCCGGAGCAGGATGCTGGCGAGGGAAGGCTGTGTGTGCTGGGAGAGGCACCAGAATCTCTACGCTTTCCACTCATGGTGCTTTGAACCCAAATGCCTAGGCCAAGTAAATTAGAATATAAGGGGTAAATACAAGTATCTGTGATGCTTATTATTTTTGTATGCAGTTGTGTTTGTGTGTGCACATACAGGCAAGGGCTGCCCTGCTCAACTTTTTACATGGGTGCTGCTAGGGATCCAAACTCAAAACATCAACGCGGCTGTCTCTCCACAGGGAAGCACCTGTAAATCTAAAAACCCTGGGTGACTCTAGTGGGCAGCTCAGGCTGTCAACCACGGATCTAACTATCCATATACCTCAAGTTGGAGTTGAGAAAACCAGGAACCACAAGGAAAAAATTATTTGCCTGATGTTCCAGGTAACTGACAGAAGCTAAGAGGTTACAAGCTGGGTCTCCTGACCCTTCACCCGGTGACTTTTCCTTCTAAAGGCCTGGAAGCAACAGAAAAGAGATCCTTTGCTCTACTATTCTAGACCTTTCTGGATCTGTTTCCACAGGGATCTTCACCTCTGAGTATAATTTCTGGAATGAACAGCACAAGATTTCATCTCCTCCATCCCCCGGGGCTGTCCTTTCCTTCACGAGACTGAAGCCTGAACCTTGACCATCTGTATCTAGGATCTAGTTTCGGCTCTCCTCTGACTCAGCTGTCCCTTGAGATCTGCCATCACTGCAGGCCGGGGGTCAGCACATGCTGCTCCAGGGGCACTTTTGGAGATAGCTTAAATGGCTCTCCTGCCCTCGACTTCTTCCTTCCAGCTAGATGCCATCTTCAGGATTCCTCCTGGGGCAGCACTTAGGATCCTCTAAGTGAGCTTACAGTGACAGGGATATCTGTTTTACTTCTGTCTTCATTTACTGAATCAGTTCATCATCTCACACAAACAATATGTAGAGAATACTTTGATTTGACTTGAGCCTAAGTTACAGGTGAAAATCATTTTTGCAGAGAGGAGTCAAAGATAAAACCAGTATTCCATTTTAACTCTAATTTTCAAGGTCTAATGACACTATGAAAATAATATATTTTCATAAATATATATCCTGTGTAAAATGTTGTTAATTATTCTCTAAGTAACAGTCGTGACTGCCCTGGAACTTGATTTGTAGACCAGGTAGGCCTCGAACTCACAGAGATCCTCCTGAGTCCTGGGATTAAAGGCCTGCACTACCACTGCCCAGCTTAAAACTTCATGGTGTGTTTTCAATGTAAAGCTACTCATTTATTTTTATTTTTTGTGCACTGGTGCTCTGCCTGCATGTATGTCTATGAGAGGGCATCAAATACCCTGCAACTGGAGTTACAGACAGTTGTGAGCTGCCATGAGGATGCTGGGAATTGAACCTGAGTCTTCTGGAAGAGCAGCCAGTGCTCTTAACCACTAAGCTATCTCTCCGGCCGTGTTAAAATTCTTTAATGGCGCATAATAGTGTTTAGGTTGACTCTGGCAATAATAACATTCTACAACTCATGCTTATCTTGTATATACTCTCGTGCCATGTCAATGAAGATTGAAGTGCTGGGTGGAGTGTAACATCAAAAGGACCTTAATTCTGGGAACTCTGGGGCTTGTAGGAAGGAAGAGCCAGCCATGGAAATACCATCTTCTGAAAAAAGTGTAAGACGGGTCCTAACAAGCTAGAGATGACACTCCATCACTCACCCAAATTTATGAAAGGGAAGCAGGCAAGAAACCCCAGGCCTAAGGATGAGAACGAAGTGACCACCAGTGCAGAGTTCTGACTGGACCACATTCCGCTCTCACCTGTCCTTCCTGACCACTGTTTGGAAAAGCTGCAGCTACAGGAGCTTTGGGTTTTCAGTTTGTTGGTTAGTTTACAACCAGTTCCAGTCTGAAGACAGCAGAAGGACCCTGAGAGGACAACTTAAGAAAAGTGGCTTCTGGTATTTCTCTTTGGTACCATCACGGGTACAAACAGCAGATCACACACACCTGGAAGCATGCAGGAAACCCTCACCTTATTGACAATGGTATACAAGGCTTTGTCCTGTGCACCGTATTTCAGACACTGTCTAATCCAGGTGTGGATGGTCCAGTCTCTCAGGTACCAACAGTTGGGACTGTGTCGAAATCTAGGTAAGACACAAGAAGAGACAATACTGGTGTTATCTCTTACCATTAAAACCCAAACATCTTCCCTCCGTGCGTCCTTCTACTGAAACAGTATTTGGTGCAGTCAATGTGCTCGAAAGCCATGAGAGCTGACAACTGGTAAACACTTGAAGTGAAACTCTTAACTGGAAGTCTGAAACAAAAGGCAAAATAATAAAAGAAAAAATATAAACCTATTTATTTTAAGATAAGAGTCTCTATGTAGTCCTGGCTGGTCTAGAAGTTATAGATCAGCCTCTACCTCTGAAGTGTTCCAACTAAAGGTATGTGTTACCACACCCAGCTTTATTATTTACTTAATACCCCGTGCCTCAACATCTTGCTTTAATGAGATTTATGGAACTTATTCGGGGACATATGAATCACAACATTATGCAAATACACAGCTCATAGAAGGGATGTGTGAAACTGAAGTTGATAGTTTGAAAATGAAGTCAAACAGACAAAGAAAAGAAAACCAGAGCAGCACAGAGCCCTGGGGGAACCAGCTTTGTGTTACACCGGCACTTCTTATATGTTCAGGAATAACTGGGAGACTACTCAGTCAAGAAAACAAACGGACAAATGAAAAGCTGACCAAGATCTCACATTCAGGTCTCTTGGGAACCACAGCCCTGCTACCTCTTTCACAGCTCCACTGTGGTCCCTCCGTTCATTCCCCCTCATGGGCCTCTGTCACAGGCGGCCTGAAATTGAGTCACTGGGAAGAACGGCTCCTGGATGATGCTCTGGCCTGAGTCCTCACACACGGCTAGAGCCTGGGCTGGATGGCACTTCTCACCTCCCCAGGGCTGTGGAGGAGGTGGGATTATCTGGGCATGCCTATTCAGACAACAGAAACCCCCACATTTTCTTTAACCCCTCAGAAAGTAGTCTAGTCTCTGGGCCCCACAAAGGTTCAACTCTCGTTTAGAAAAAAAAAAAGACAGGAGACAGAAACTTAGAGGTAAAGCCTTTCTGGCATTTAGAGCCACGGGCACCTGCTAACACTGTTCTAGAGGCGATTCTTCAGTGTGCCACCAGCTAGTTCTACTCGTGTGCCTTTGGGCTGGCTTCCTTTCTCTGGGTGACAAGAGAAAAGCTTTGGAGAGGAGGGACAGGATAGTGTTTAATTTGGGTTGTTAGTGCTCTGGGAGAGATGTGCTAAAACAAAATCTGAAGATCTTTTACAGACTTGGAATCATGTTGCTCTCTCCAACACCCTTTTTAGAGACAGGGAGGATCTTGCCATGTAGCACAGGCTAGCTCTGAGCTCATCATCCTCCTGCCTCTGCCTCTGAGTGTTCAAGTCATGCACCACCAAATTTACATCTATCTATCTATCTATCTATCTATCTATCTATCTATCCATCCATATCCATCCATCCATCCATCCATCATCTATCTATCATCTATCTATCTATCTATCTATCTATCTATCTATCCATCCATCCATCAACTATCTATCCATCCATCCATCTATCATCTATCAATCCATCCATCATCTATCTATCTATCTATCCATCCATCATCTATCTATCTATCTATCTATCTATCTATCTATCTATCTACCTATCCATCCATCCATCCATCCATCTATCATCTATCAATCCATCCATCATCTATCTATCTTATCTATCTATCTATCTATCTATCCATCATCTATCTATCTACCTACCTACCTACCTACCTATCCATTCATCCATCCATCATCTATCTATCTATCTATCTATCTATCTATCTATCTATCTATCTATCTATCATCTATCTTCCATCCTAGATTTGGCATGAAAATGTTTCTTATTTTAGTTTGTTTGTAAAATTAGCTCAAAAAATGAGAAACACAAAATTGTCAAACTAAGTTCAGGTTGACAATGACCTGGCCACAGAAAGGTAATGTACAGCCACCTCACAAATTCTTTGCATAGAGAAAAAAACATACATTTTAGTATTCCACATGCTCCGTCACATTTTCAAATCAATAGTTAAGCTACTTAAGAACCTCTCCTTGATACTCCAAAACAGAAAAAAAACCTGAGGTTTAAAATGTAGCCAATTAACAGCCACTTTTATTTTTATTTAATTTTAGGGGTACTGAAGATCAGACCCAAGATAGTATACGTGCTAGGTGAAGCCTCTGCTACTAAGCTACACACCCTAGGCAACTTTTATTTTTAAAAACAAAAACAAAAACCACCAAGTAAAATAGCAGGTGTATTGTCTCGATGAACATGTTCCCTATTTGGTAGAAACTCCTGGAATACACTGGGACCCACTTATTCCACATGATTCCTTGGTGCCTGACACATTACTTCTTGGCTCATAAAGGTTTTCAGAAAATAAAAGCAGAGCTTCAGTCAAGTTATTTATTAAAGGCTACACAATTATGTTCACTATTATACTCGTAATACTCATTGTACATGAAAAGAACGGTGACCCCTTTGCCTGGGGCAGGATAGCCTCATTACACCTGCCTCCAATAACAGTATAAGGAGGGCATAGCCCAAAGGGATTGCTAGGTGCACAGTCTGTGGCTTTGGTGGTTTCACATATTCTCAGCTTAATGCCAACCACCTCTTCACCCAAGAGCACTTTAAACTTAATTTCCATTTTAATTTCCCACCTTACAACATCTTGGATGGCCAGAGATTATAGCTTTTTTGCTGTTGTGGACAGACTTTAAACCACATTGGTGGCTATATCCATGACCACATCCAAGCAAGCGCCTTTTTTCTTATTCATGATCAGCAAGTGATTCTGAGACTTTGAAGACTGAAAGTGGGACCCTAGCTATGGACCTTTATAGCTTAAATTAACATTTACTTCAAGCTGTTTGCTAACATTCTAAGGCTAGCACCTAGAAGTGCGGCTTTTAGAAGCCTAAAGGAAGTATTACAGCTCCTGGAGAGGTCAGGTCAATGAGACCCCTGAACTACAAGGCCTATGTGGAATATTCCTTTACACTGGGTAAATATATGTCACTGTGATTGGTTTAATAAAAAAGCTGACTGGCCAATAGCTGGACAGGACAGGCTGGGCCAGAGAACCAGACTGAGGACACTGGGAAGAAGGATGGAGTCAGGAGTCACCAGCCAGACACAGAGGGAACAGGAGTTGCGAGATGAAAGAGAAGTAATGCCACATGGCAGATATAGATGAACAGAAATGGGTTAAATTTAAATTATAAGAGCTAGTTAGTAATAAACACGAGCCATCAGCCAAGATTTATAATTAAGTCTCTGTGTTGGTTATTTGGGAACTGGTGGGACAGAAAAGTCTGCCTATAGGCCTAACAGTCCACATGCGTCACAAATGTCCAGGACACTTGCAGCTAACTGCTACATCACACCACTTTAGGAACAGTAGTGCGACACTCACATCACAAAATACACTGTCCAAAGTGCAGTCCCAGTCAATCCCATACAGGCAGCAGGTGGACCCCTTTCTAGCCCCATCAGTGCTAAAAATAAAAAGGAAAAAAAAAAAAGGAAGGAAGGAAGGAAGGAAGAAAAGAAAGAAAGAAAGAAAGAAAGAAAGAAAGAAAGAAAGAAAGAGTGATGTGGGATGCCCTTCCGTATGCTGTGAATATAGCTAGGCGGTAAACCCAAACAGATACAAGGAGAAAGAAGACAGAGTGAGGGAGATGCCAACAGCCGCTGGAGAAACAAGATGTGAGGTAACAAACCACGAGTCTCGTGATAAAATACAGAATAGTAGAAACAGGTTAATTTAACTTATAAATTATATAAACTTATATAAATGGGTCCGAGCCATTGGTCAAACTTTTATAATTAATATAAGCCTCAGAGTGTTTATTCAGGAACTGGCAAATGGGAAAGAAACTTTCAGTTACAAGGAAGAAAGGAAGGAAGGGAGGGAGGGAGGGAGGGAGGGAGGGAAGGAGAAATGAATTAGTTCAGAATTTCTAGAACACGAAGGAGTCAACACACTAGGCTAAAAAAGAACCATGTTTGGATGGTATGAGAGAAATACCTCAGCCAATTTCACAAGCAGCTTGGTGGGGATTCTTGTGACAGGCTGGTTAGGCTCTAATGACCCTGTGGACTGCTGGCCAGCATGGCAGTCAGGAAGGGCAAAGAAAACACAAACCGACACATTGATTTCCAATTGGCCTGTGAAGAGCCTGACCTTTGCCCTCTTCTGCTACACACTAGCAATTACAGACACTAGAGGACGCCCTTCTCTACCTGGAGCCATCAGCTGGGGCCACATCTCAACTGATGCTTTACTATAGCAGAAGCAGCAGGCTGCCGCGACTGTAGAAAAGATGAAGAAATGAAGGCAGGAGATGCCTGCAGCTCAGCTCTGTGGACCTGCACTTCTTAGAGGCAGGAGGAATGAACACAGGAGGGCTGGGATGGTGCTGTCAAGTGTCCACTCTGGTTCTAAGCTGGCACATGTGGCAGACAAGATCTCTGTTCCCAGTGCTAGCTGGGGTTCCCAGAGCTTCCTAGGAGGCCAAACCATGGTTGAGCCAACAGCAGGAACTGAGAAGCTTCTGGTTCCCTCAGGACATTTACCCACTTCAGGGCTAACTCAAGGTGGACAACACCTGGAGGGCAGCAGAGTGGAGTCAGAGTTTGCCAAGCAGACATGGATCCAGAGGTCTGGTCACCTTAGATTTCTTAGAAGGTAAGACATTTAAAAGCTTCCATGGGCTGCAAAAGCAATGACAAGTTGGGCATGTGTCACCATGTCCTATATTGTTCTGTCTCTCTGGTTGGAGCTGGCTGCTGTTTTGTCAGATCTACATTTCTCAATCCAGGAGAGAGACTACAGCCATGCATTGATAGCAGTCTTGTGTGAGGTACAATGACCCAAATTGCAATCCCTGACTCTACTCTGGAGATGAAACCTCCTTTTTTTTTCTGGTGCAGGGAACAAAAAAAAAAAAAAAAAAAAAAAAAAAAAAAAAAAAAAAAAAAAAAAAAAACAACTTTGGACAGACCATATGGTCTTT